ATCAAAATTTTGATGTTTGGCAATAGTTACAATTTATATTTGTAAATAGTAGTTATATTGAAATTAAAAAAATATTACAATACTGTTTTTGCGTTGTATGAAAATTTTTGTTGCTCCGTATAAATTTTTTAATCAACCCCCACCCCCGGTCAAAGGTGTCCCTCTTTACCAATCTGAAAATCTGGTCACCTTAGGATAGCCATTTGTCTGAAACGGTATAAGTTTTCCTGCCTAGGCAGGGGATTGGACTAGAAGACCTCCAAGTTCCCTTCCAACTCTGCTATTGTATTGTATTATTGTATTGTATAATCTAATTTCAAATTAGGAGAAGAGCTAAAAAAAGCGCCGCCAAAAACGTAACATTGGCGAACTAGAATGATCAAGCGGTTTCGCGGGACTTCCCCTCGTTAGCGGCATTAACAGCCCACAAGAACGGCTGTTTTTCTTTTTAACTTGCTTTTCAAGCCTACGGCCGTCCTGCTTTCCTTTGAACGAGAGCAGCGCTATCTTGCAGAAGCAACCGTCAGTCCTGCAGCGCCCACTAACCGAGTCCCCCTATGCTCCCTCCCCGTTCTTCGCGCCCGCCCCGTCAAAGTCACGCTATATTTGATTTTTCTTGCGTTTCTATTTACGTTTGGCCGCAAAGAGATAAAAAGAGCCGTAATACGAACGTGAGCTGGTGACCGAAGGCGAGAATCCTAAAGCGACAGGCGGCATTTCACAACCATGGAAAACCTACTAAAATCTGAACTAAAAACCACCGTTTTGAAGCTCTTGGGTGGCTCAAGAGGAGGTTACATATGCCAAGGACAAGGCTACGAGACCGACGGAGGACGAGTGTTTGTTAAAAGCCACAACAAGCCCCAGGTTGACGATACTGTGGTGATAGCTCTGTTAGCTACTTAAAATACTGCAGCTAGGAAAGGTCGGGGACTGGGAGGGCAGTCAGCTGGTAGCGGCGGCGATAGACACCTTGTGACACAGCTGTTTGTTTTGCTCCCCGCCGCTTGCAAGAAGGGTGCACAGAATGGGCGAAGCGAATTCCGTTTAAGGGGCGTTTCGATTTTCTGCGCAGCTTGATCAGCATCTGTTGGGTGTGTGTGGAGTGAGTGAGGGGGGGGGCTAGGGAGGAATATATGGTTCGTGAAATCAGCAGGAGCAGTCCTGGAAATTTGCACTAATTATCTAATTAGCTCTTCTCCAATCCTCATGGAATCACCCACTGAGTCTCGCTGGCCAATTAATGCGATTAAACCAAGTAAAGCAAACATTTGATTAAATTTTGGCACCTGCACTTTATTTTTTATGATGATGGAAACCGATCTCCTGCCTTGACATTCTTTCAAAGCACTTTCAGTACTGGGAATTTGCATAAATAATAAGCTTGAGTGCTGTCTCATCTAACAACCCTTGGCAACTCAGGACAATCAAAATTACAATAAAATCCATCAATAAAGTCAAATGCTAATTATTTTCTCTGAAAAAAAGAAATTTCATTTCTTATATAAAGCAAATATAAAAATACATTTTATCTTTTACAAAATGTTATCATTAGCATTTGGTTTTTTNCCTGCAATCAAATGGCTTTTCAAATAGAGGCAAGTCAGCTGCAACACTCAAAAGACAATATATCCATTGATGTGATCTCCAGATGGGCAATTCTGGGGCTTCAGTTTTCCACTCCAAACTAGTGCTGAGTTTGGAAAATGAAGGTGGAAAGGATGCAGTGAAGAATATTACTGTTGCTTTCTTGTTCCATCCCAATCAGAACACAGCATCTTGGCTTGGAGATTAAAATAAAACTTTTCCTTTTCTTTTCTCCTTTTCTCCCTTTCCTTTCCTTTCCTTTTTTTTGGTTCTACTTTCAGATGCTTAGGAGAATAGGTTGGTGGTGGTGGGTTTCCATTTTTTTTTACGACTGATTCGCTTGCGCGCGCAGAAGCATCCAGACAGATGGGCGGAGTCTCCCACCACCGCTACCGGTTCCTGAACCAGGAACAACCCAACTGTGGTTGGCCCCCTCTTCTCTGTGGCAGCCCCTCAAATATGTGTTCCAACACATCAATATTGCTTGTCAACCCCAGTCCTTCTTTTTGTTAAACTAGATACCAATTCCTGCAAACATTTTTCATTTGTTTTAACCTCCATCCCCCTAATCATCCTTGTTGCTCTTCTAGGCACTCTTTCTAGAGTCTCAACATCTTTGTTATATTAGGATGCCCAAAACTGCATACAATATTCCAAGTCATTACCAAGCCATTATAAAGTGGTACAATACTTTGGGTCATCTTGATTCTATCCCTGTTAATGCAGCCTATGACTTCATTGGCTTTTTGGACAGCTGCAGCACACTGCTGGATCATATTTAAGTATATTATAAATGGGCAGCCTTATTTCAAATGGCCCAGCTACCCAGGCTCAGTCTTGGGACTTCTAATTGTTTGTCCCCCTGTATAATGACAACTCTACCATCTAATATTGAAAAGGAAATATTTTAACTTGAGAGTCAATAAAACCAAATTCAGCTTTTATGAATTATAGATGCAGAAAATTTCAGAGAGACAACCTCTTAATACCAGCATCTTTCACATCGTAGTCCATCTTGCAACCCTCTATCTCATAAAACCTTTGCTGCACTTTAAATTGAAGTGTGCTTCCCCCTCGTACATATATATATATGTGTGTGTGTGTGTGTGTGTGTGTGTG